TCCTCTGTTGATGGAAATTATAAAAAGCGAAACAAAAAGCCAGCTTGACCCAATTCACGGCGTTCAACGCACAATTAAAGAGGCCGGACGGAAAATATAATCCGAGTGGGAAAAAAGACCAAGTTCGACCGCGTGCACTAAATAAACGGTGTAATGAGTCACCTTCTCGTTGGCGCACGAAATTCTTTCAGCCTGCTAATGAATTTCACAATTTATTGGTGTTTAGCAGGCAATGTTTCAGTTTCGCATGTGCGTATGACGTACACACACTCAAGACGCGAAATCTCGCCAACGTATTTTGCTTATCAACGATCAGCGCGCATTTTCCCCGAGGCAGGAAGTGTGGAAAATTTATCTCGAACGAGCATTCTCGTAGGGCGGAGACCGAATAATTTTCAGCGTGACGTAAAACGGCAGACTGACTTTATGAATTTAAAATTTTTAATATTTTACTGTGGTAAATAAAATAATATGGATGGTTACTTAGATATTATTATTTTCTCAAAAATTTTAATTCATTGCAGAGCATTCAGTTAATGTACGTTAAGTCAAAAGACAATCACCAATGAGTACTGCAAGTTTTTTTGCAACGATAAAACTGCACTTTTTTACTTTTTAATTATAACTTTTAGATCATGTAAATAATAATTATAAAAAAAAATTTATAATGTTTTATAAAATAATTTTTTTCTTCGTAAATAATATTGATTTTAATAATTTATTTTTTATTAAATAGCATTGCAGGCACGTGTTTGTAAATTATTTATAAATATATACAATTATAAAATTACTAAATAAATTTACAAACGTGATAATTAGCCCATGTAAGTTTAATCAAATTATACATCTTTGGTCCATAAGATTTATGCTATGATGAGCTGTATTTAATCAAAACTGATTAAGTTCAAATTAATAAAAATAATAATAAAATTGGGCCAGAAAGCTATATTAGATCAACTATTTTCCTAATAGCATTAAACTTCAGCAGCAGCAGCAGCAAGAGGTGTTAATGATATTGCTGTCACGAACGCACGGCATATCACACGTTTAACTTGCAGAATAATCAAATAACATCATGTGTTCTGCTTTTTCAATATTCAACAGCTCTCTTGCTTGCATTCATTAATTCTGAATGCAATCGTGATGAAAATGCCATTAACGATTTGCTCCCGCCGCTGAATACAAAATTGATCGCCGTCCGGTCTCGGTTTATAAAACAAAATCGTGCCGAGATTATTGAGCGTATTAGCAAGAGTTGGCGATAACGATCGCGTAAAAAAAGAAACTCGCGGATACATCAACGATTTCGATTCACCTCTGCTTACTTACGGAGGAGCGAATCCGAATACAAACGGAGCCTGCACGCACGTGATTATGCATTAATTGAGAGCTTGGTTCGGATGGAGGGAGTGCGAAAGAAAGGATTGTAATGCACCACGGCAACCTTGGAGCTGCTGTGCGCCTGGCTGAGCGTCGTGCATTCCGACGAAGAGAGGAGTGGTCCAGCATAGTGTGCGAATGAATTTCGCCATAAATCATCTCTCTCAGCCAGCTCGTCAAGCGTCTTCTCTCTCCGGCTGTATGAAACGTCGGCGTGACAAATTAATCCTTTCGGCAAACGGGCGGGCGGGCAAAGAGGGTCGCGCTCAAGGTGGAGCAGCCGAATTCTTCAGCCTTAAAAAGCAAGCAAGCCGCTGCAGATTTGTCAGCTAGAAAGTTTTTCGCGATCTTCCCGAGGCGGAACAAAATTTTCTCGCAAAATTTTGCCGCCGAGAAAATTTTCTAAAATAAAAATATGGAGCCTTTTAATCAAGTTTCCACTTAATTAAAAACAGTCTGAGGTAATAATTTTTGTCAAAAATTTCCAGCATTTAATTTGTAAAAAAAAGTAAGTCCGTTTCTTGATGAATGTTTTGAATAAAACAAATATTAAAAAGAAAGCTTCAAATTTAAGCGGATGAAACAAATGTAAATTTTGAATGATAAAATATGCGAAGCTGATTTTTCTATTTGACTTATGCATATAGCGGCTAATTTCGTTTTGTTTAATGTGAGCACCATCGTCATGAGAGGCCGAAGAATGCTTTTTCGAGGCCAAATTTGAGTGGATTCCTCTCGGCCCACGCCGTTTCCCAATAGCGTCTTCGTCGCTCTTCTCCAGCAGTCTCGTGCGTGGTGGCGACGGCCATAAATTACAAGGGATGGAGAGAAGAATTCTTCGCAATTTTGCGTATCTCGACACAGGGAGATTAAACCGTTCAACTAAGTGCGCGATTGCGCAACGCAAGGACGCCGCCGCGAGAAAGAGAGTTTGATGTTTAATTAACAGGAATAATTTTTACGACTTTGCGGCGGCGCCGAGATAAAAAGAAGAAGAAGAGAGTAACAGCACGTGAGCCAATTAAAGTACGCGAGAACCAGCAGGTTGTTGCAGGACGAATTAGGGTCAAACATGTTCCTCGGACGTGTCGAAAGATAAATTCTCTTCCGTTCGTTTGCGCCGAAAAGAGGATTTAATATGCAACCTGGCTGAAATTCACGCAGATTACACGAGTGCTCATTTGAATATCCTGCGCGCCAAATGTGTTCATCTTTCGTCAGCGACATTTGAAACTTGTCTCCAAGATTTGTGCGCTTGGCCATATTACATCGCGCCCACGCTTGTTTTGCTCTGCTTCGGTTAAAATCTGCTTGGTCAAAGCTTTTGAAGCTGACCCATAAATATTTTTTTTTCATTTACTGGCATAAGACTTGAGGAGAACCAAATATTTTTTATCGTGAAAGGTAATGTCTCTTGATTTTTAACAATTTTTAAGGCATTGAAATTTGAGCATTTATTTAGCTTTTAAAAGATAAGATAAAGCAAATCTTGAAATAACTTTAAACTCGGCAGCTCGTAAATTAAGCTATTAAATGAACTATCAATGATAAAATAAAAGCATTATTTTTAACCCAGCTTATTCAATTGAAAAATATTAAGAAAAGTTAATATATTTAAAACGAGGCTAACTTAATAATTCAATTCAACTTTAAAGCGCATAAAAGTATTTGTATGAGAAGGTTTCTCGGTGCTGTAGACTTATTTGTGTCATATCATGTAGCTGGCAATATTATTATCACGATTAATAAACGTCGTGTTTGCGGTTACAGGCAAGGTAAACACCTGCTTGAAAAAAGTCTGAAATTAGCTCACGCGGAACGATTCTTGCAGGCGATGAACATCTTTCGCTTTCATGTGCGTCTTTCTCTAACTTTTATCAGCTCACATAATATTACAGTGCCAATTGCTGCAATTGACGATAAGAGAGGGTACTTAATTGTGTCAATTCAGTATTATAGGGTATTATATACGCAATGAAAGATGCTTGGTTCAATCAAAATATAATCATAGCATGCCCGATCATGAGCATCTTTTAGAGTATAATAAATGGTGTTATTAGAAATAATTTATTTTCAATGAAATTTCACAAACTACCAAATAAACTTTATTTTTTTTCCTTATTCTACTGTTGAATTAATAATTACAATTTAAATGATGAAAAATTAGCATTGGCATCAAATTTTGATATTCATTTTTCATGTAAGCAATGAAGTTTTTTACTAGAAAAAATTTAAGCTAATTAATTTTCAATTCCCCTTATAACAAAACCACCCGACGATATTAAACTTCAATTGCATAGTCACCGTTTTAACTTTCAAAGAAAACAATGCCTGGCTGTGTTTGTGATTTCTTTTCAACGTTTGCGTAAGTGCCGGTTGGGCGCGTCTTCTGCTGCTTTGAATCCGAACAGCTAAACAGGAAACCGGGGGAGGAAAGGAGCACCTTCTTAAAGTACGTGTGTGTTGCGTCTGGTGCCTTTGCGAACGCTAAGGGCGCGGCGGCAATTGAAGAATTTCGCTGGCAAGCCCTGGCAGCAGCTTTAAACGGCTCCAATTTGCACAAATCCGCGCGCGGCAACGAGAAATCGATGGCGTGAGGTCCTTCGCCAGGGCGGTCCCATTCATCTTTCGAAATGACCGTTTTCACCGCTTTTGACCCCGGCCAGATTTTCTCTGGCATTTGTCGAGCTGCCTATTTCCAGCCGTGGGAGTTCGCACAACAAAACGCGTCCCACTCACAATCAGGCAATAATTTCCCTCTCGGACGTAAATTTGGCGTTGTGAATGATTGCCGCCCTATCTGGAGCGGCGTGGCGATTATTTTTAAAGCTCCATCCATTAGCAATCAAAGAGGAGCGTGGCGGTTTAACTGCGCCGTTATTCAGGTCGTATTCGGTTCCGACCGAGATTAAATGAATGTAAAATAAAACGAGCCGGTCTTGTTTTAAATGTCAAATGAGGTGAGAGAGCGCAAACTCGCCAAGCGGAACATCAAATTGACAGCAAAGGAATGTGATTTGGGATTAAAACTACTGTTCAGCATTAAAAATAATTATCCTTAAATTAAAAATTTAAATATGTAATAACAATTCTATAAATAATATGAAACTCTTAAGACAAACAGTAAAGCATCTTGTGATGAGGTCAAAAGATTCATTTTTGAAATGAAATAAAAGTAATATTTGGTGGTTCATAACCCCATTATGGTTAATGTTTTGCAAGGAGAAAAAAGAATTAAAATAATTTAATAAAATCAAATTTAAAGTAAGTTAAAATTTTAGAATTCAGCTATTGAGCTACCTCAAATATAGCATAATATTGGCGCTATTTTTGTGCAAAATCCTGATAAAATTTTCAAAACTGGAATTCAAAATTGGTTTAAAATTTACTTATTTACTGTATTTTCGATTTGGAATATTCAAATTATAAACCCTGGGGGATATTAAGGACGACATTTAAGTAAATTTTCTTTTAATCTTCAATTAAATCTTGGAAGCACAATTTTCAAACTCTAATTTGGCTCCAATTTGAAACAGCACGAAGGAAACCCAGGGGCGACCTGGAGACTTTTGCAGACCGGATGATGAGGCAGAGCATCGAGGGTGGGAAAAAAGACTCACCACGACGAGCTCCTGGTCGGACGAGTCGAGCAACATGGTGTCGCTGGCCGCGTTGAGGCCGCCGGGGGTGGCCGAGGAGGCGGGCGAAGAGGTGCCGGCGGCCTCGGCGCCGAGGCACAGCATTCGGCGCAGCCAGAGGGCGAGGCGGGGGCGGCGGGGCCGCGGCCCCCGGCTGCAGCAGCCGCAGCAGCAGCAGCACGAGGCCGACGGCCGGCGGGGGTCGTCGTGGAGAGGAGCTGGCCGCATCGGAGCCCGGCGGCCGCCACTGCTGACACCCAGCTACACACTGGATGGATGGATGGGGCTCTGCAGCCGCGGCCCAGCCTGGCCAACCAGCACTCCCACACACCGCCCAGCGCCGCCGCACGATACTCCACGCTACTATCCTCCGACTCCAGCCAGCTACGAGCTGTGCCAGCCCAGCTGCCTTGCCTGCGCCAGCTCCTCGCACTCGCGCTTGCTGCGGCCCGATGTGGGTCACGTCGCCGGCCAACGGCCTCGGCCGGCACGCAGCCCGGCCGCCGCGGGCACGACCCAGGGTGTGCTGCTGCCATCACGACCTTGGCCGTCTTTTCTATCTACCCAATGTCAACGTTTTCGTGTCCAGAACACAATTTTCAAATAATCTTAATTTTTTCGCCAATAGTACAGAGCAAATAAAATGATTACGATCACCATGAGTTTTGGGCTCTTTTGAGATGGATGAAATTTTTACTTATGAATTATTCAAATTAAATTTACAATATGTAAATAAACAATCAATTATGATTTTGGAAAAGATATTAAAATATAAACTTAAAAATTAAAAAAAAATGGCAATTTATAAACATTTGCAGGTTATTGGCAAAATTAAAAACTCTTGCATTTAGTGTTTTAATTTTTATTCGCCTCTTGGCTTTCCTGTGTATTCCACAACTAGTAATTTATTGTGCAACCTTATGTTTGCGGTAATCCAAAAAAGTCTTTGAGATTTGAACCTAGTTGGTATCTTACTAATGGTAATGATGAGCATAATAGTTAGTAAAAATTAAAGTTTTAATTCTGATATAAAAATCAACGACTCAACTATTCATTCAATAATAATTTTTCAATCATGATTAAATCCATCTGATTTAGAGTTTTGGTTACAATTTAGAGGAATTAACGAGCCGGAAAATCCTGGAACATTTGTCTCTTAACTAATTATTGTTAAAATAGGTACATAAGATGTTTATATTTAAAAAACTTGCTATTTATCAAAAACCATAAATCAAGGCAAGCATTAAAAGAATCATTTCACTAATATTCGCGTTATTAACAAAGCAAATTTATTTTAAATATAATAAATTTAATAAAAAAAAATAATAATAATGTAATCTAAACTAAGTATCATATAATATTAAAATTGAAAGTTATTTATTGGAATAGTATTTATTATTTTATTAGTACTTAATTTTTTTAGTATGCCTAACTGTAACAAAATTGATTTGGAGCACATAGTTTTTAATTTTTTTTTCATTTTAAATAAAATTACAAAGAAACCACTTGGAACGGGAAATATTGACGGATGTGCCAAAATATCTCATTCGATTATATTTATTTCAAATTTCCAGCTGTTTGATGATTTCCTTGAATTTTTTGGAGGAGAACAATATATCCTGCACTTTGTAAGACCTCCGATGAGAGCGCAATATAATTGACAGGAAAAAGTGTCAAAAATAGAATTGAAATCCCTGCTTCTCCGGACCAGCTACACCCCATAGCAAACCTGCTCAGATGATTTTGCCCACGCTGAAAACGCAGTTGTTCTCCGTTTTCCATTGAAGTGGAATGGCCAATCCACTTGTCAAGTTAAATATGCACGAGCGTTGCAACCGATCAGAGCACATTCTGCGGTCTCATCGCCCCGATGGAAATGCGAACTACATTTTCGCGCTCCACCCTCAGATTTCTAATTAAAGCAAACTATTCCTGTGGCGCGTTCGATTGCGGTTTTATCTCGTCAGAAAGGCCTGCAATTATTGGCGTGTTTGCTCTGCAAAAGTTTTGCAAGTGCAATTTGATAAAGGGCTGCGGAAGAGCAGCGGGGGCGCGAGATTTGCAAATGGCAACACATTAAGGGCAGAGAGAAGAAATATCTCGGCTTCTTTTATCGCGGCAGCCATTTGGGCTAAATCTCTCTCTTGTGGAAAATATTTCCTCGGCGATGGGCGAGCAGGGCTGCTGGAGCGGAGAACCGCCGAGATTTGGGAAAATGGCCTCATTTGTTTGATTTGTGCACGACGGAGCTGCGATTTACTTTTCAAATAAGAGGGCACACACCACCAAACGTAATCTTTTCCTAGCTTTGAGAATACTTCATTCATGAATTTATTTTCCTTTCTTATACACTGCAGTGAGATGAACTTCGACTTATTTCAGCTTGCTTTAACCCAATCACAAAAATTAACTATATTATATTTCAATAAAATATCATTTTTAAGCGTATTTAAAAATTTTCTTGCAGTACGAAAATTATTAATGGAACTCGCCTTCAAGCACTTTTACAACAGAAGTATTATAGTAATGTATTTTTTAATTAAACTTTGATAAAAAAAATTATTTAATAAAAAAAAAAGTTCTGGAGTATTTTTTTCAAACGAAATTCAATTAACTTTCATTTCTTATTTTGTTTTCATTGGACAAGAGTACCAAATTCAGTCTCTGATAGTGAGAGCATCTCGACGCGCAGTCTCTGGTCTCAAAATAAGTAAATTAAATTTATTGTCTTACTCATGACTGCGCGTCACAGATTGTTGTTTTGCATGTGTGCATACGACCGAGACGTTGCGGCGGCATAGTCAAAAATATAGAGCCCTCGGTGATAAAATTAAATCCCACTGACGCACTGAAGGGGCTACGTACAATACTTATATATAAAAAGCACGACATTTTAATCAATTAAAAATTTTAATTAATTACAAATTTAATTTTGGGCTGTTAATGCTGAGTTAATGTTAATAGTTAGCAAAACGAAATTTCTTGAAAAAAAAAATCTGTAGAGATGTTATGAACTGGATAATTATATGATGTGGTTTAATATTTAGGAAAAAAATAAAGCTGCCGTATGGGAAAGAAACAAAATATTAAAATAATTTTCTGTCTTGAAAAAAAAAAGAAATTAGTTCATTATAAATCAAAAGAAAAAAATGATTATTCATCAACACAGAGTGGCAGAAATAAAAATTATTCGTTCAAATGCAAACAGTTATCATAAAAACTGTGATAAAAAAATTGAGTTTAAAGTTTTTGCATTGAACAATTTCAAGATTTACTAAATTCATCGGATTAAAAAAATAATCTTGGGTGACAATAAAATGGAGGTAATTTCATTCACGTTTTTGATAGAGCAAGAGCGCATCTTTTCCATCGGGTGCGTGGGTGTTTTGGGCACAAAAGCCACGACGGTCTCCCTGGCAGCGGGAAATGCAGAGTGTCGGTCGTCGGGCTTTTAATGAAAACCGTGCTCGAATTTCGCGCGCTGCAAAAGGTGGCAATTCGAGCAGTCTCTCGTGAATCAACCGAATTAGAGACACGCTGGCTGACGTTAACAAAAGAAGTCAATCATCTGAAGCGACGAGGCTTTAAATCCCCGGGCGGACGATTTAACACGTTCGCTGGTTCGCGCGAAAGGAATATTGCAGAAAAATGACACCTCCCGCGCGCCATTGTGGCGGCGCCAGCGGATTTGCTCCGGCGCTGATTAAGCCAGCGAACGTCTTCGCGGAAAAAGCACCAAATCTTTTTTTCCAGCCGAGTTTGCACGCCGGGGATTACACAAGTTTTATTTGTGCTGCCTACGCTATGCTCTCTCAGCGAGCGCCAGCTCTCGCGTTATTAGTCTTTTATTGTGATGCAAATATTAGAGCTGCTGCCGGCAAGAGTCACGCGGGGGTTCTCCGCGGCTCTCCGGGCTCGAGAGGGATTTGAAAGGGCTTGTTCTGTTTATTTAACGTTTTGTGCTCCTTTGCACCAATTTAGTTTGCAACACCGACAAATGAGTAAAAAATTTATTTTTTAACCTGGAGAAATGTACAAAAAATAAATTTTATCAGCAAAAATATATAATTATAACTGTTTACTTTGAACTTGTGATTTATACATCTTATTGTTTAAAAGTTATTGTAATCAAAGTTTAATTTTTTAAATAATCTTTTAAACAAAATCTAAAATATGCAATAATTATTATTTAAATAAAAGTTTGTGCAATGTATTATAATGGTGGATATTCTCATTCTATATTAATTAATATTATATTTATTTTTTTATATAATTAATTAAAAAGAAAATGTTTATATCTGGACACGCACGAAAAATTCGTTTTGAATTAATTATTTTCTTATTTATTTCTACTTCAATGCAGTTGGTGGTCAACTTGTGTGCACTAATTTGTCATATTATACTGTTTATATTATTTATCAATGAAATGATTAAATTTTTTAAATTTTTTTTACAGGTGATAAGAGTATTTAAAACACTAAACATGAGCTTTTTAATTGTTTTTAATAAACTTTCCGTCCCGGCTAGTAGAATATTAAAAATTGATTGAATATGAATACATTACGATTAAAAATTAAAACATTAACTCTAAGGCAACGCTTCTTGTGGCCAATCTAAACAAAACACGCCTAAAAGCGGGGATTTGTGTTGTCCTGACAGATTTCATTGTGTGCCTAATGTTCGCCCAAAGGAGCAGAGAAAACTTGTCAGAAAGCACTTGTCTAAAGTTGCGGGTATACGCAAAACGCAAAACAGCAGAAAGGTCGCCTTCTCTCTCTCTCTCACACAACAAAGGAAAGGGCTTTGTCTCACGGACCATCAAATTAATTTGAAATCACAAGAGCGGTGGGTCCAAAGAGAAATTCCACCTGCAGAGATCAAACGGAAAGACCGGGGCAGTCATAACAACATTCAGCACAAAGTGACTTTTTTGCGAGTTCGGACTTTTCGATTCGGAAGGGGCTGCGCATCTTATTAAAGAGGCTTGTCAAGAGCAAGACACACATTCAGGTTGGCCGAAACAAACAAACCTTTCAGAGATCAGGTGCGTGTGTGTGTTGGGCCCCCAGAGAAAGAGAGACTCTTTCACGAGGGGTGGCACTGGCGGGAAGAAAGAAGGGGTTGCGCGCGGTGGAGCTGCTCTCCGCTAACAGATATTTACGGTGCAGGACGATCGATACGAGACCGACTCGCCTGCCCGCCCACAAAAGCAAACCCGGGCACCAAAATTCGTACGTCCATCGGATGCGCTCACCGGCCCTGTGATTAATCATCTGACTGACGCGCACC